GGGGTGGAGGGTAGGTTTTTTAGAGACAGCTCCGTTTCAGCGGTGGTTGGTTCACTCGGACGGGAGTGATGTCATAATCCTTTGGTGTACAGCAAACTTGCGCTCCTTGTGTTTGCACGCAATTTGAGATGTGCCCTGCGTCGTCTGAATCGATTGTCCTTTGAAACGGGGAAACGGCCAGTGGAGCGACAACTTCCCCGCCTTAATCGTAAAGCTGAATGCCCTCAAGAAGTGGACAACCCAAAGGAAACGGGAGGGGTCCTTTCTGTTGGAGCTGGAGCTGATAATTGTCGGGTGGCTGGGGGAGCAACAGGGTGGAGCTTGGGCCGGCATGCTGGTAACGGGACGACGGGAAGCTAACTTGGTGGCCCCGCCTGCCGCGCGCTACCAGCTGGAAACCCCTGCAAGGCACCACGACCACGGCAGACAGCGGTGACATGCCACGGCCCTGGATGCGGCCAGGTCTGGATTTTGGCCGAAAGAGAATGTCTTCTGAGCGGGGGAAGTCTTGTCAGTCAAAGTCATCTGCTATATGGGTACTCTATCGCGCACCATACCGCAAAGGGCCCTCAGCTGCCGTTTATTGAACGCCACTATCACAGCTGAAAAGCACCTCGCACATCTCATCACTGATAAAGGTCTTGGAGAATTATTTGGTATTAGAAAATGTACTCGAGCAAATCATCAAGACTTGCCCTCGAGGGGTATGATCATATGAAAGCCTGTCTGCTAAGCTATAAACACCTATCCTTCCATTCAACCAACCATCCGCCCCCATATGTGCAGCATCCTCAGCGCCCCATCATCCCAGGGGAGAGACATGTGCCAGCCAGCCAACAAATCCAGTCTCTGTATGTAACGACGCTCGCTATGCACATTTTTGTAAAACAGCCTGTAGACTGGACTGCAGTTTTTCTTCTTCTTCCCAGCTCCATTCGTTACATCCCCGGCTTTAGACGCAAGAGAGAACGCGGGTATATGAAAGCCAAAAGGGACCACAAAGGAAATAAGCTGAAATAAAGACATGAATCGAATCTTTCGACAGGCTCCCCAGCTTTGGTGGCACTCAAACCTCGTAGAAGTAGTCTTCATCTAGACCTTCCCGGCTAGGGACGACGCCAGCCCCTGGAGGAGGGCCAGTGTATGCAGCCTCTATCCTCACGTTCAGCAGCCTGATCTTCAGACCAAAGTCACTAACCAGGTTGACCAATTTGTTCGTCTCGGCAGTGATTGGTGCCTGATTGAGCAGCATCAGAAGGCCATCGAGCCACTCTGACGCCAGACTATGGGTCACAGGGTACAGCGTCAGGATGGCCTGCTCCTTGGCATCGCCGCCCTTGGCTGCCTCGGCGGGGTTGACGTAGCTAAAAATTGTAATCTTGGTTGTCGACTTCACCGTCGCGGTGTTCTTGAGCGTCGAACTACTAGTCGCGCTTCGAGTGTCTTCGTTGGATGCAGAAACGTTTGACACCACTGAACTGATCGTGCTGAGGTCAACCTTCTCTGTCAGAATATCCAGGCCGGGGTCCTGTGATGTCTGAGTTTCGAAGTCGGCGTAGTGGAGGTATCTCCTGTTGTGTGACAGCTTGGCAAACCGCCAGGGCCGTGGCGTATACAACCGGCGCTTGGTCTCGTCTCGAGGGTTGGTGTCTCGGCGGGGTAGCGGCTTCGAGAACCACGAACCCTGAAGTAGGCACCTGATGCGCTGCTCCTTGACAAACTGGAGGGCCTCTTGTCTCAACTCCTCTCGGACTTGATACAAATGTTGACCCCATTGATCTTCAAAAGACAGCTCAAGCAGCTCCATCTGAAGTTCACGTAGCCTGGTGCAGTCGTACTCCAAGAGTTCCTCTTCCACCTCCACTACGTCCTTCGTTCTGACAGCTTGACCGACAACCTGCTCAATGAGGATGCGAACAAGCTCTGCGACCTTCTCAAAGTCCAGTTGCTCTGCAGCCGTGGATTTCCAAACGCGGAAGAAAGCCTGCAAGCCAGCGGTGTGTAGCCTCGACCACTGCAGGAGGAGCGGTCGGAAAAGCTTCTCGTTATTTTTAATACCGTCCAAGCCTTGATAGCTCTTCATCGTGTCCTCGATCTCCGACTTTTCGACCTCGAAGTGATCGTAGAGGATCATGGTGACAGCAAGACTTGCCCTCGCAACCGGGCACCGCTCACTTCGGTGTTTTGTCGACTGCTCCAACAGCAGCTTCTGAAAGCTGTCCTCATTCTTGCGCACGTAGTCGGTCAAATCCATCATGCCCAGGAACCCAGGCACTTCGAATTCCTGCGCGGGGCTCTCCGTCTCGAAGCCAAGTCTTCTCCACTTCTCAGGATTGTGTCGTCGGCTCCCCTTTTTGCCCTCATTCAGCTCATCCAGTCTTGAATGCCCATTGACCTGCTTCTCCGGATTGCTCGCCAGATGTAAACCCTTCAGACCGCGTCGGTGTTCAGGCCTCTCCAGGTCAACCCTCACCTCGCGCCACTTTCTCAGTAGAACCTTGGTCAAGGACTGAAATTCGAGCAGTGGGTGCGCGAGATCTTGCAATGAAGAGCTCTGCATGAGATTATACACGGCCTTGATCAGGCCCAAGTCCTGCAAACGCTTGATAAACTTGGACCACTCCTCCATAGTAGGCGACCCCGGCTTCGTGCTGCTGTCGCTGGAGACGGCGTCCCTGATCATGGCATTGATGAGCATGAGCGCGTTGGCGCACAGGGCGTGGTCGGCGGACTGCAGTTGTGAGATGACGAGCTCGAAGAATTGCGGGTACACGGCGACGGCTGGCTTCAGCGCCCTGAAACCGAATGAGCCTGGAGTGCGCGGGGTATTGGGCCGGCCGGAGGATTGCGAGTGTGCAACGAGTGCGACCAGAATCGACATGGCGCCTCGCAAAATGTTGACTAGGGGGTTCGTTACGATCAATTCGACGATGCGCTCGACTAAGTCACCGGACGACGAGCCCTCAAAAATCTCCCAGCCCATATCCACCTCCAATAGACGCGTGAGACTCTGCAGCGAGTATGCCAGTGTGTTTCCTCCAGCGCTCATGATTAGACGGCGTAGCACAACCAGTCCGCCGGAAGATATGAAAACGTCTGCAAAAGCGGGATCGTTGATGGAGGACTGCAGCTTGAAGACGGCCATTTTCCTGGCGGCGTCCTCGTCACTGGCGAGTCGCGACAGCAGCGCGGGGATGTCTGCTTGGTCCATTGCGGCGGCTTCGTCGAGAGAGGGTATATGCTGGTTCGGACAGGTGTAAGCAGGGTCGGCGCGAGGACCGGTTGTCGAAGGGGGAAAAGGTCGCGTCGGTTCGTCAGCAGGAGGGGAGAGGAGTCGCGCTCAAATTCATGGCCCAAGGTTGTTGTGCCAGCTATCGGGGGTGCGTCTCGAACGTGGGGGTTATATAAACAGAGGAGGGCGTCCGGGGTAATGTCTCGAAGTTGTGGCCGCGGAAGAGGGTCCGTGTCAAGGAAAATCGAAGACGGGCAGAAGCTTCTTCGCAGATCCTGCGAAATGATGGTGAAGGACGCGGCGTCGATCAAGAATATAAAAAAAGAACTCCTGGCAAGTTTGTGGTAGCAAGCAAGGGGGCGAGGAAAGAGATAAGGCAAAAAGAAGGGACTGGTTCTGAGTAAGGGACTAAAAAAAGGAGACACACGCAGTTGAGAGTGCCAGAGTGTGGTGAGGGCTGTCGAAGCAACCTAACAGACCAGATGTTGGCTTCGGTCCGCGTTGGATGCGCACGGCCGGCAAGTTTGCGCATGTCCTGTAGGAGGTGGGAAAGCACAGGTGCAGCGTCCCCCAAAACGGCCAAAACGGGGAGAGACCCAGCAATCTCCAAAATTAAAGCGGGGGTTAACACAGTTCTCGAGTCATGATTGGCGAATGGGATCCTGGTCCAATCCCCAAATCAAGTTGCAGGCCGCTGGGGGTGTTCGCCAGTTGTGGGCGCCTTTTTGGGGAGAGACCTCCAGCGTCTTGGCTTCGACCTGAGTCCGAGAGACGGGACGGCGGCGGGACTGCGGCGTCTGGCCATTTGGTTCAGCGTCACTCACGAAGCCAACCGTTTCACCATCCCTTCCCACCGGAGGCCGTTGATCATTCCACTGCATCTGGAAGAAACCTAAACAAGATTATCCATCACCACAAGCGGCGCCAATCGACGGCGTTCGTCGGAGGAGCGGGTCTCGTGACCATCGTGCTATGGCCGCGTTGCTCGGACTGGATTTTGACTCTGAAAGACAGTCCATCACCATCGGACGAGCGAAGCTTTTGTACGCGGCAGACGGGACATCAGAAGGGAGATCCCAATTCAAGCCATTGCACGAGCATGTCTGGAAGCTTTCAGCCAAGGATCGGCGCTCCTTCAGACCGATCTGTTCTCTTCTTCCATTCGGCGTCATTCATGTGTGAGTTCAGCCGCATGCGAGAACTGACTAGGGAACCACCCAGTGTTTCAAACATGAGCAATGGTAGATGCTGTAGTTCTAGTTTGCCTTGCACAAGGATGTAGTTTGGCGATAACACAGACCCATGTATAATGATCTCTGAGAGAGACATTGAATGCATCAGAGACAATGCCAGCGACAGTGATATCAGAGACAATGATGACAATCGCATAAGGCTGGACGGAATGTTTATCCCCCCCCCACAGCAGGTAATAAACAACACGTCAATTAGAAAGTGCATGTTCTAGACTCTGATCCGGGCTGCGCTACGTACCTAGGTACTCTGCATGCACGACCCACCAGAAGCTCATCGAAGCACCGCCACAGAAAGCTCCAGCCTCGCAATTACTAATAACCGTGGCGCAAGGCTGTCTGAAATATTCCTCCGTCGCATTCCCAACCGCGACCAGGATCCAAACGCATCGCAACGCGCGCCTCACCCTTCGTCGACGTTCAATTCCTTCCCTCCCCATCAACGTCCCGACCTCGAATCCCGCTTCCATCCACGACCCGACATCTTTCTTTTCACCGCTAGAAAGTCGATCGCGAAAATGGCCAACTTTCTCGCCTCCATCTTCGGTACCGAGCTCGACAAGGTCAACTGCTCCTTCTACTTCAAGATCGGCGCCTGCCGTCACGGCGACCGCTGCTCGCGAAAGCACGTCAAGCCCAGCTACTCTCAGACCATCCTCATGCCCAACCTCTACCAGAACCCGGCATACGACCCGAAGAACCGCATGAACCCTTCCCAGCTGCAGAACCACTTTGACGCCTTCTACGAGGACATTTGGTGCGAGCTCTGCAAGTACGGCGAGCTGGAGGAGCTGGTCGTCTGCGACAACAATAATGATCGTATGTCTTTTTCCCCGTCTTTTATTCTTCCTGTCTCGCCGTCAGTTTGACGCCGTCTCTGAACGTTTAAGATGGAAACGATTGCTAACATTCAACCACCGCAGACCTTATAGGCAACGTCTACGCCCGCTTCAAGTACGAAGACTCGGCTCAAAAAGCCTGCGACGATCTTAACTCGCGCTGGTACGCCGCGCGCCCCATATACTGCGAGCTGTCACCCGTGACAGACTTCCGCGAGGCCTGTTGCCGTCTGAACTCAGGGGAGGGCTGTGTCCGCGGCGGCTTCTGCAACTTCATCCACCGCAAGAACCCCTCCGAGGACCTCGACCGCGACCTCACCCTCAGCACCAAGAAGTGGCTCAAGGACCGCGGCCGCGACGAACGCTCCCCCTCCCGCTCGCCCACCCCAGAGCCCACGCGGCGCCGTTACTAGGAGAACAACGGTGGCGGCGGTGGCGGCGGTGGCGGCGGTGGTGTTGATGTCGACAGCCCACCCGGAGGTCAAGGCTTCCGTGATGGTCGTGATACTGGCGATAGCCAAGGACGAGACCGGCCGAACGAGGATAAGCGACGTGGGAACCGGCGGGATCGACCAAATGGCAGCAAGCGGCTGGGCGGTGACGAACGCAACGGTGCTGGGGACGGCTCTGCCAAACGACAAGCCCGCAACCACGAGCATCAGTCACGGGCGCGTCCTCGCCAGAGAAGCAGCAGCCCTGTCCCCGCGCGCAGCAGGAGCCGTAACCGTGAGCTGTTGCGAAGCCTGTTTAGGCAGAGTTCATAAGCCGGGACCCGTGATCGAGGGGCCTTCTGGCTTGATTCTGACATGTGGTCCCTATGATATTGAATCATAGTCGGCGCGGTCAATTTGAAAAAGAAACTGGCGTTCGCGGTGTTCTGGGAATGGTTATTTTTATTTCCAAGGGTCCCTTTTCGAGGGTCAAGCATCAAATGTGTATACTATTGTCACAACAAAGCTTCCGAAACAAAGTCATGTTCATGTTGCTCTGTTGAAATCAGTGTCCGCAGTTGAATGCCATTATTGCTAGTCCGTAAACGATGCTACATATCTACAAAGGTATCCCTTTTCTACCAAACCCCGTTTTCGCCGGTGCACAGAATGGATCTCCTCTCCTCTAGCCAGAGGTTGACCTCCCATGATGAATGAAAGTGATGACGTGTTATACCTGACGGAAGCTAAAAACCGCATGTCTAGTCTACTCCAGGGCGTCGTGGAAGCTATCCTCGCTGGTGTCGGCTCTCTTCAACGGCGGGACCGCCTTTTTCATGTCGGAGGTGAAGTCCATCAACGGACCCTCGCCAGCTTGATGTCCTGTCTTGTTGAGCATGCCCTGGATATCCTTGGAGTCGCTCCTGGTCGCGTGAGCTCCAGTAGGAGGCTGGACAGCTGATGCAGGCGCAGTGGGAGTGCTGCTATCATCTCCAAAGTCGATCAGGTCGTTTTTGGCGGGTTGAGCCGGAGCTGCGGGCGCCTCTGATGCAGAAGGCCGGTGTGGCAGAATCGTGTTTGCAGCTGTTGCCTTCTGGCCAGGAAGGATGGGATAGATGGCCAAAATTTGCTCGGTTTGTTTCTCCGGCGTTGCTCCATCGCTATGACATGGTCAGCATTCGTATTCAGCGTTTCTGTGTTTCGTTCACCGAAACTCACATCTTGGCGTTGATGATCCACTCCAAGTCTTCCTCGCCTTCCTCAACGTCGCCAGGGCCACCGTGCACTGTTCTGAAAAGTCTGGGATGCCACTCAACGCCGTCTCGTGTTCTGGCCTCTCGCTCCTCGCGTTGTTTGTCTTCAACCTTGGTTTTCTCGTCCGTAGCGAGCTCATGGTTGCTAGCCTTCACAGCTTGGGCAGTCGCTTGCCAGAGCTTCTGGGACTCGCGCTCGTCTTGCTCCTCGATGGGTCGCACCGACGGGCTGCTAGGTTTTGATCTCCTCGCGTTGAAGAACATTTCCTTATGACCAGTCTGCAGGCTTGTTAGCGCTAACTTGGTGCACAAACCTGGCTGGACCTACCTTGACGTCTTTCACAAACATCTCCTCGCTCCAGAGCCCCGAAAGCTCGTAAAGAACCTCGCCGGTGCTCTCCCGCTTGATGAATCCTCCAATTGCGTTGTAGGTACCACCAACCCAGCCCTTCGTCTTGAAGTCGACATCCGCAACCAGGTCCAGCTCTGGACAGCGCACAAAGCTATGGTCGCCTAGCTCGTACTTCATCTTTCCAAACAAGATGCCGCGGGCATACATGTTTGGCTGAGTCAAGATGCTGTGTTACAGTCAGCATAGGCTCATCCAACCGAACCTCCCGCCGACTTACTATCTTTCACCCTTGGCCTTGTCCTGTCCTCTGTTCAGCAATGACAGAATAGCAGTTCCCTCCATCATGCTCGCCGCGGAATTTCCAAGGAATTTCGACCTCGGCTTCAAAGTACCGTCAACCCGGATGTGGTGGTCAGGAACCATGTAGAAGTAGCTCGACTTGGGAGGGTGATGCGACGTCTGCTCTGAAATGTAGTAGGCCTTCGTGCTGTCGGGAAGGTCCCAGTAACAGGTGAAGATCTCGCCGAGGATTGGGTTCAGGGGCTTCTTGACTCCTCTAAGACCAAGTCAATGACATGCCTCTCCTACGCAAACTTGGCAAGGGTTTATATACGTACGGTGGACGAATATGCCAGCCGCTCAAATAGAACTTGACTACGGAGAGGAATCGTTGGGTTGGGTCGTCGATCTCGGGTATCGGGAGGAGCATTTCAGGGTGGCACATGAAGCTATGACAATCGGTCAGCTATGGAAGCTCCGGAAGACACCCCGATGCTGAATGCCACTAACTTGGTGATCCTCTCGAGCATGCTACGAGGCTCGAGAATAAACGTCGGCAGGACGACGCGACTCAGGTCAGCACCCGGCCGAAGCTGGGAGATGATGTGCATGAGCACTGCAAACATGTTAGCTATTTGCATGCAAGACGTTGCGCTGGGGAAGACAGCCGGCGCAGGCTCTCGCGGGGAAGTTTCACTAACCGTTGCCCTGATCGGGCTCGACCACGAGCGTGTCGTCATCTTCGGCTCCTCTCGCCTCGTCGACGCTGGAGCGGTTGCTAGCTGTGGGATTCCCGAGCCAGGTCAGCATTGTTGGCGGTAGCTTTTTTTTTGAGGCGCGCGCACGATGGGAGGTTCGGGAGGAGGGTGGAGAGCAAGAGAGGAGGGAACGCTGTTCGGGTCCCAACAAGACTTTAGAGCCGGACAGCGGCAACAAACTGGGGACAGGATGGGAATGGGAAATAGGCAGAAAAAGTTGCAGGAGTGGGCGCGCGAAGGAATTTGTCGCCCTCAGTAGTAGCAGCAACAGCAGCAAGTAGTCTACAGTACCCTGCGCGCGGCTCAAGAGAAATTGTCTGCTATTACATTGGGTTTGGCAGGCAACGCTAGGGCTGGTAAGACTCACTGAGGCTGGACGCTCTGGAGCGTCTTCCTGGCACATGGACCAAACCCATGACTGCGACTGGCTCAGTGGATGCAGCGGTGCCCCTCAGTCTCACTCTCGCAGTGCCTATGAGGTAGTGTTTCTATGGCCGCTATCGGTCTTATCGGCGCGGTGTCCGGGATGTTCCCTTTGGGCAGGATGAGGGGCAGTGCTCGCGGGCGGCAGCAAAAGGCGTTGCTGATGCGGCGAGTAGGGGTAGAGTCGGTAACTGATGGGTCCGACCGTCTGGCAGCCCTCTGTGCGGATGACCAGGCGGGAAGAAGGGCGGTACGAATGTGGATATTGGGTGGGAACGGGTCGTAATAAAAGTGCTTGGAAAAGTCGACAAGCTGGTAGGTAGAGTGCTTGACGTTTGTCGGCGGAGAGCAAGGAGGTGCCGGGAGAGGAACAGTCGGAAGGGAAAGTATGGCGATGTATCAGTCAGATGCAGGTGGAAGAGAAAAGTGAGGTGGACAAGCCGGGGCGGACAGGAGAGGCTTGCTTTGAAGAAGGAGATGACATATGACTTGACATATGACTGTCTCACTACTCTGCCTTTCCGGTGTGGTATGGTCTTTGCTTGTTGCTGTCTCTAACAGAGGGAAGGCGTAACTGGCGGCTGGTATATCGGCAGAGCACAGCAGAGCAGGGCAGAGAAGATAGGAGCGAGGAAGTAGAGGTCGAGGATGATGAGGAGACGGGACGTTCGTTAAAAGTCAATGTCAGTCGGTTGGTGGTGGTTCACTGAGGAACAACCGGAACTTGGGATGGTTTAGATGGTGAAGGTGACCCAAGTGTGAAATCGGCAAGAGAAGTTGAGACCCAACCCATGCCTCGCCTGGGTATGATCTAGAATCTGGTAGACTCCTTAGCAATTAATTGGTCTGCTCGCTGCACTAAGATACGCAGACATCCTGAGGTACGCAGTAAGGTAGGCAACAACAGCTCACCGTGGTAGATCACAGCTGCCGCTCAACAGGTCGCTGGTGGCCTGGCCCATGCAAGAGTTACGTAGTTGGTGGTTTCTGCCATTTGGCTACGATACTAGCAGGTGAGGTGCTGGGGAACTAGGACCCCACCATGCCGCTGTCGAGGAGCGATGACGTCTGTCGTTTTTTAACAACCTTTTTTTCTCCAATGCCCCTCGTCACCAAAGGCCTTCCCGTGCACGACTGGCAAGTCACCATCTCGCGCCAGTGCAATGGCACCCAAGATTCCTGACCACCAATAGCTCGTAGAGGGTTGAGTATCTTACCTTAAACGGGGTTCAGCTGTTTGCCTGAGCAATTCCCGTGGGCTGGCATGCTGGCAGTTGACATATGGCATTCCCCATCTCCGGGACTGCACCTGTCATCCTTCACCCCAGCTTCCCCTCTCCGTCCCATGTATTCCATGTCCACCACACCAAAAGTAGATGCTGTATTACCATGCACCCAATCACCTGCTCCCAAAGCTCTCGCAGCCAATCAAGGCCCCAATGACTCTCCCTTCTGTTCATTTATTCGCCTGCTGGGCTTCTCAAGGTTCCCTCTCATGCACATAGAGTCCCTCGCTGCCTTTCTTGGCTTGCACATCTGCCTGCTATCCCACCTCTATTCATGCAGGTAGTTGTGGCAGTGCTCGTGAGATCCAAGAAATATTGACCGCTTGTAGACGCAGCCGAAGCCCTCGAATGCAAGTTGAAAAGCTCGAGGGGGCCCGGAGAGGAAACCCGCTGTTGGTGGGGAGTTTGATGGGGCCCAGATCCATGTAACTCGCCTGGAAGCCCATTTTGGCCCTGAAACTAGCATTCAATCCTACGGCTCAACGCGGGTTATTTGCAAGGTATTTCTCGGCAAGTCACCGTATGCGTCGTACGCACTTTGAAACGCGTATCATTCACAAGCTGCTATTCTGTATACCTAGACTTGCTTTGTGTGCGTTGCATACTTTTTGCTGCCTATCTACCTGTCTTG